ACACACACACACACACACACACGCACACACACACACACACACGCACTTTGTGGTTTCCGCTCTGACAGTTTACAAAGGACTTCCTGAAGTAGCCAAACAAGAAAGAGAGACTCCAAGACAGATGCGACTGCCCCTTTTTTACACAAACCTAAGGCAGGAAATGGTGTTTTCTCCTTTGAAACATCTTAACTAAGATTTAACCTGGAGAAAACATGGCAAAAGCTGTGAGCGTGCACTGACCACCGCGAGGGCTCTGCGTCTGAGGAGCCTTCAGAGGGGGGGGTTAGTCTCAGACACCTCCTGCCCGGGGCTGTGCCCCCGTCTGGCTGCAGAGTGTGGCTGCCGCCCGCTCACTTCCTGAAGCACCACGGTGGCTGCATCCAGTCCCTGCTGGCCACGGCCCACACACGGTGTGGTAACAGGTGCAGTTAGAGGCCGTTACGCCTTCTGCCACAGAAGACACAACATTTGCATTAAGTAAAATTAGGTTGTTTCCCTTGATTGGTTGAGATTACATAAAGAGATTAAACATTCATAATCCAGGTTAACCACCAAATTTACACTTTGATTATCTTTATGCCACTAGCGTCAATAAAAGACCTCAAACGGACTAAGAAGGTAGAAAAACTAAAGATAGACGAGATAGACAAAGACAGTGAACTGAAACAGAAAGTGGGCACCTAAATGAAATGCTCGGAGCAGACATGAAACTGTAAACTGTGGTTAGCACCGAGCTCCTCTGTGAGGGGCAGGAGGCCCTAAACCATATCAGGGGGGTCTGTCTGTGGACTGGAGAGCCCCTGTAACTCCTGCCAACCCAGTACAGTGAGCAGGGGAGGACAGACACCAGTCACACACACTAAGACAGCTTCTTCACATCCTCTGAGGCTGGAAGAACCTCGAGGTCTGACCCCCGGGTCCCAGAGCTCTTTGGGATGCCGGTGTGTAATCTGAGAGGAGGCCTAAACCAAAGTAAAGATGGAGCCCTGAGGGGCTATAATCTCCCCCTGTCCCACAGAGCTACCCAACATAGTCCCGGTCCCCACATGGTCAGTCCCCACATGGTTCCGGTCCCCACATGG